TTTTAGAAGTAATTACAGTGTTATCCCGAGTGATAATGTCTGCCACAGAGACGTAGAATTTGTCATGAAGTTCATAAAATATTCGTGTAAAAACAGGCCTCAGGCTTTCATAAAAGATAGCACTGCAATTGAAGTGAGCTGTGCCGAAGAGTTTCCGAAGTTTAAATGAACCGGCAGAAGTAGACTACTGTCCTTCATCATTACATCGTTCTGAGCTTATGCGCAACTGCCTCACAAACATCGCAACAACGTCTATCATTCCCTTTTGTTGAGAAGTCAACATCCATGCTCTGAAAACCAAGGCTTACCTGATTTTCCAGCGCACATGTCTTTCTTGCTTAGTGTGGCATGCTCCGCCATCACCAAAAGGAAAATGAAAATTCTTTGGACCACAGCTGGACGCATGCATCTACTCATATCAGACTCTACACGAGCTTCTGCTGGTCGCTTGGCTCGTACGCATGATTCATTATCGGCAAACAGTGTCCATACACACATCGGTGATCGTGTAAGAGCACCAGCCTACGAAAACTTTTTTTTTTCTCTTTGAATGCACCACGTCGCTGCGTGACATAGTTTGTACAGCTTGCTATCACGAAGGTCACAGAAGAACGCTCGCCAGTCGAGCCTATGTCATGAAGCGATTGAGACACAATTTCAATAGCGAAATTTGAAGCCATTTTAAATAGCGCTGGCGGCCGATTGTCAACATGACATGCACGAATCTCTGCGCACTTGCGCTGTCTGGTGTTGTGCCGGGATGAGTCGAATGGCAAGAGAACAAGTGAAGATACAGTGCTGAAGAACAGCTGCGTCCTCTCCTACCATAGATTAGTTAGCTGGAAAGAACTAGAAGTGGGATTTATTATACACAAGCATATCGCTGTCAGCGTAGAGGAATAGTGCAGCATCAGTGAGAGGGTGGCAAGTTATCATAATTAAATTTAACAAAAGGTACAAGATGAAGGTGGTACAGGCCTACGCGCCTACATCGAGCCATGATGATAATTTGGTTAAACGCTTCTGAGAAGACGTATAGTCAGCCAATAATGAAGTAGTGACACAGTGTACCATTCTGATGGACGACTTCAATGCCTAAATACGAGAGAGACAGGCAGGAGGCTATGCAGTGGGGCAATAAGGCATTGGCTCTAGAAATCCTAGAGGTAACTTATTATAAAGTTTGGAGAATGTAATAATTTATGGATCTCGAATACCTTCTCCAGAAAACGGGTCAACCGTAAGAGGACGTAGCAAGGCGGAGGCGAAATAAACATTTATTGATGCGGCTTGCTAAGGTTTCGGTGGGTGGAGCCCTTATTTCAGGGCCCCACTAGCTCAAGTGGCTCACTCGGCTTAGTCCAAGGTTGGCCGCTGGCTTTCTAGGTTCTGCCGCGTGAGGCGCACCTCACACGGCTTTTCGAATTCGTGTCGTGTAATGAGGGGTGCCTGTCTTTGTCGGCAAGTCCAAGTGATGTGCTGGATGTCGGTGTGTCACCGCACCAAGGGCAGTGGTTGGCAAATCGGGATGGCAGGATTTTGCTGAGAGTGTGTACGTTGGGATATGTGTTCGTCTGTGTTCGTCTCCAATCCCTGTATTGCCAGCGGGTGAGTTTACGGAGGTGCGGTGATATCATCTGCTGGGCCAGTCTTTGGCTCTTAAGGATATTCGTGGCAGCGTAGGTGTTATGTAATCCACCTGGGTCGGAATGCCGCGGCTCGGAAAGTTCATGCTGGAGCCTGGCGGTCTGCCCGTTTGCTTCCTCCTACACTTTTCGTGGGCGGGGCACCATGTGATGCCATGGTCTTCTTCGAGGTCGGATCCTAGCATGCGTAGGACGCTCTTGGGAAGGCCGCCTCTGAGGAAGAGTGGGCAAGCCTCTTGGGAATCTGTGAGAACATGTGCAGACTCTCTCTTGCACTCTGATGCACGGATGGCTAGTGCTATGGCTGCCTCTTCTGCTACGGCCGTGCTTCTCGTACGTTGTTAAGACTCGCACCGCCACCCACACCGCTGCGTAGTGCGCCGAGGTCACGGGCAGCCAAGGTTGTTTGGTAACGCGTTTCTCAGCTCGTGGCTGCTTCTGCGCAGAGCTGATAGACGATCGGACAAGATGATGGTGAGTTAAGGCATTGTTTATGTACAGCATAGAAATAGAGGCATTGCATACTCGGCACTGGGGCCGACAGCTTAGGTAATCGAAGAGGCGAGATATCTTCTCCCTGATGCATACGTCAGCTGCTTGGCGTCGCGCCGCTTGCTTCTTCATAGGCCCCAAGCGATGGCTTACTTCAGCAACGTCCAATCAGAACCGCCGCTGGTGGCGTCTGCTTCCTCAAATCGGGACCTACCGCTGGGTGGCGTCATCATACTCCAATACAGAGCCGCTGCGCTGGGTTGCACCCATGAGGGAGTGGTATTGCCACACGTTGCGTAAGACTCACCAGACTCGATTGCGTCGATTGCATCGTCGGGCTACTATCGGGCCCGTGGGTTGAGGGAACTCGCCGTGCGTTGAGTGAGACAGACCGGAACCACCAGGCTAGATGACGTCGTTGAGGTGAAGGCGTCTGGTCGGCTCGCTTGCAGGCCTTGTCACAGATTGCCTTTGCAGAGGCAATGTTGTTCGGTCTGAACTGCCAGGCTTAACAAAGTATTGTCGCCGATGTGATCGCTTGGTTTCGGTTGGTAATTACTGCAGCAAATGAGTTTTGCCTCGTTGGGTATGGACTGGAGTCCGTATAGTAAGTGTCGGGGTCATTTCCTAGGCGTTCTAGTGCCGATTTCCTTGCTCATCGGCAGCCGGCATTAACTTTAGGGTGCAAGTTTCTCGAGATAGGGCAACGTTTATGTGTCCTCTGTCTTGCCTGGGTATCTGATGCGTCTCCTCACCGCACAACTGCGATGACAAGAGGTAGTTAAGGCCCTATAAGAATAGTCGGCCTTACATTGTCAAATTGTGCCTTGCTTTGAGCGATCAATACGGGTGCGACGTGTTCGTCATATGCATTATTACACCTAAGCATTCCAAACGCTCTGTGTCAGAGCAATCTGGGAGGCCCTATTCACCTTTGTAGGCAATGTGTATACGTGTGTTGGCCTGTTTTGCTTCCCATCGGTGTGTTACTTGGCACGGCAGAGCATATGTAACGCGACTAAGGATAAAAGCATGTACCAACGTTCTGGTGTCTTCTTTCGTCATACTCTCATTACTGCAAGTGACTCTCTTTACGGATCTCGCTACGCTCCTTGTTGTGCGTTGCAGTGTTCTTAGCGTTAACAATGTGCTGCTCCTATCCTCTATCAGCATTCCCCGCACCTTGAGCTCCGATTCTTGTTTTATCTGGTTCCCATTTAGCTCCAGATTGAAAGTTGGGGCGCGTGTCCAGTGGGTTTTCTTGGGTCGGACTTGCGTCTATCCAGATTTTTCCGGCGTACATGTCATACCTGCCTTCTTGGCGTATTTCTCAATTCTATTGACTGCTCGTTGAAAAGTGTCCCATAGAATCCTTTCGTCGTCCAAAAGATTTTGTAGTCGTCGTAGATGATTACTGCAAGTTGTTTGTCTCTGTCCAGCATTGAAGCTAATTTCCGCACTCTATTTTGAATAGTAGGGGGGACAATATCGAAGCGGTGGAGTGCCTTTATTTTTTATGTGAATATCATTTCCTCTTATATTCTCCAATTATATGGACGCCATTCTGTTGTTGAAAAAACTTTGACCTAGTTGTTGGTTATCTCTACACAGCCTATTTCTTGTAGGCCAGTCGATATAGTGTCATATGTTGTCGAAAGCTTTCTGCAGGCCCAACGCAAGCAGAATTCTATTCATGCTTCCAGGTGATGACTTTAGAACTTCGTCGCGAAGAAGAAGAAAGACGTCTTGCGAGAAAATTCCCTGATGGAAGCCAAACATGCAACTTGGTAGGAGATTGTTGCCCTCTAAATACATTAAAGTCGTGTATGGATAACCTTCTCGAAAAACTTACCCGAGCAAGAGGTTAGCGATGTTGGTCGAAGGTACCGGAGCAATTTCGGTTTTTCAAGCTTTGGTATTAAAATTATTTCTGCCTCCAGGTGGTATGGATCCTCCTGTCTTCTGATAGCGAAGTTCGTTAGGTGCTCTAGTGTTTCACTAGCTAAGTTTGTTATCATGGTATTCGTGATACGACCCGGTCCAGGTGCAGTGTTTTTTTAAAGATTGCGCTGCAGATTGATGAACCAATATTACATGGACACTTGTCTATGTAATAATGCTTCATCAAGGGCAGGTTTTGCCCGACCCATATAGGGTGTTATAGTTGCCCGTGTTGGCCTTTTCCCATATACGTTTCTTGGAGTTCACGACAAAGGTCCCCGTCTGAGCCTGTGTAGTCATGAAGTATATGCCTAGGGGCAAGCGTGCTTTCTCTTCGTGTGAAGTCGGAAGTTGAGCATCATAACCCCCCCAACACCGACGCGGGATGCAAAAGGCCTAGACAATGTGCCTTTGAGATGGAGATACAAGGTATCAGCAGAACAAATTCATCCGGAACGATACTTGAACTCACGAGTGGGGACTCACAGATCCCACTCGACCAGCCCTTCAGTGTCGGCGGTAAGATTCCCTTGGCTCGAAACCACGCCGGTCCAGATGCACTGCTCAGCAAGGCTTGCTCTTGACTGCGCACACGCACACATTGTTTCATTGTTTCGCCAGTGGTCAATTCTGACGTTGAGTGGCCGCCTGTTCAGCGCTCGATCCTTTCCGGATGACTAGCAGTATTCAAGGAATCTGGAGCCCTAATCGCCAGACCAAAGCATTAATCATGAGGATTATCTCTGCCCATTTCAACAAAACCCATCATAGAGACATGCACATTCAAGGAAGCCACGGTACATTACAGACATGTGGAGCAAAGGAAAAAAGGAATGATAAGCTTTACTATGCTCGTAAACAACTAAGAATCTGCTATCGCAGCATCTATGTAAACAAGGACATCCACTTTTCAGCCTTGTCAGGTCTTCAACAGTATTTTCTTTTTATTAAAAATGACATGCTCTTTGCGCTCTGAGCGTCCTGTCACATGGCTCTGTACAGATGTTTTTCTTTATATTGAGCGTCGCATATGTATATGGCTGACGTGAATAAACAATGTGTTAAGGGTCTTGAATCCATGGTGCCCACGTCCCATCGTGATTCTCTGGAAAGCTCTGCGGGTCAACTGGTTTGTTCAATGGAGGGCTTGCCACAGATCGGAAGTAGTCTAAACGTTTTTTCAAGGCAGCCACAATCTGAAAAATGTTTTAAAAAATGAAGGACACTCAGTTCTGTAAGATTGTGTGGAAAATATGTTCAAATGTTTAGTTTAGTTTACTACATTTACTTGGAACAAACATGTTTACGTACATGTTTGAGGCACATGATCGTTACAGTAGTATGACAAAGCTTGTATGACAAAGATCGTTACAGTAGTATGACATAGCAGTGCAAGGAAGGCAATACAGAATACAATGATCAAACTGGAATGAATTACAGTGTTGTCAGGAAAAGTGGTTATAAGGAACACTGTGCGGTGACAAAGTTATATTACGACAGCCATACGAACGAATGAAAATAGAAAGTTTTGAGGGCTTGTTTCCTTGACACCATACTAATAAAAACCACCAAATATTGAAACCAAGGAAAGTATTGGGGGCATTCATAGCAGTGCTTTTTTAAGAGTAATTGTGGTATAAATGAGGCGAAAGAGGACAAAAAACTTGTCGTGTACTCGCACACAAACTGAGTATTGCAGGTTCCGTCCTACCGGCGGCAGGACTGAACGTTTCTTTCCATCTACTATAATGTGCTTAAAGCAGTATTATCCCTAACGTCCCCTATACTTTCTTAGCCTTTATTACAGGTTGGTTTTAATTAACGCTAATAGGGGCGTCTAGAGTTTTTAAAATTTTCTACATTAAAAAATGAATCTGTTCCTATCTATCTTACATTGAATCATGAAAATTCTTTTATTATGTCTTTTTAAAGAGAGAACAAACTTTAATAGAAGTGCAAAGACAATGACGGGATTTCCGACACAACTATCTCATTGTCCAGCGTCATTTTGTTGGCTTTCCGGTCAGAGTAGATGGTGGACCAACCATGTATTTAATAAAAGAAGGGGAGGGGGGTGGAGGGCAATCAAGGCACTGCTTCACTTTACGCATTTAAGCACAATGCGACATAGTTATTACGAGAGTAGAACCAGTGAATTAGCGTCATCAAAACAAGCTCAAAAATATTAGCTGGTAACACAGGTTATCGCAGGTCAGCAAAGTTAACAAATGTTATCGAACACAAGTGCTTACCCTGCTTCTGTAAATGCTATGTTAAAACGGCACCTTGCCAAATTCAGGACATCATGTACGAGTTAATGTAGATTCCTAAACAATCTTTTAATTTTAACAACAAAGTGGAAAGTTGTAGCTGGAACCCGTGCACCTACTTCAATTCTTCTAAACAGGAGCACAGAAGATGATAAACGAATAAAAAGCCTACGAGAGGGGCACTTTAATGTTACACACGGGAACTACGAAGGGGTTTTTCTTATCTAGGAAGATTTTAAAAAAATAGCGAAAATTAGAATATCCGAACACGGATTTTTTGGTGGTGTGGTGGCGAGCAGAAAATCTAGCTAATTATCAGATGATGCAGGAAGAATGGTTAGAATTGAAAGGACTGCTGTGCTTTCCTCTACGAGGTGATCTAACTGTCATAGAAGTAGATTTTCTTTGGACTAGAGCATTTGAGAGATTGTATTTAGCACCGTTTGTAGGAGGGTAAAAAATGGGCCGAAATAATAAAGCAGTGGTAAATACAACAGGTGAAAATTTCTTTTTAGCTAGTTTTCTGGTAGAGAACTCGTATTTATAGGCATGCGCAGAGTTCCCCTTCAGTAGAAATGGGAAGGGGGTGAAGGTTTGCGGCCGCTCCCACACTCTTTATTATCGCACCTCATCGGACTGACCTTTCACTCCCCCCCCCCCCCTCCCGAATCACAGTGCCCCTTTCCTCTTAGTTCAATGTATGGGCCCAGCCTTGCACCTCCTTCCCCTCTAGTCACGTTTTTTTTAAAATCAGATGCAATCATACGAACACTCAAGGTCCAGGTGTGTGCCTCAAGCTAAAGCTACAAATATTGGTTCAGTTAGTATACCTATGTCACGCATGCCAGCGACATGCTTAAGATGCGCATAGTTTGAAACAATGTGAACTCTCTTGCTTTCCATTCGCTATGTATTTCTTTATATCTCTCTTTCCCAATACACACATTTGACAAGAGCCTATCGGCAGGTTCCTAATCCACGCCATTTGTTCAACTCACCTAATGACATGCTTTGGCCTGAAAATAACACTTATAAAAATTAAAGGAACACTCAATGACAAGCACGAGCCGCTTGTGCTTGTCGTTGAGTGTTCCTTTACTTTGTGTTTGTGTGTTATTTGCAGCCAAAGCATGTCATTAAGCAAGTACCAACTAGGCCAACAATCAGTGTTGTTCAACTCACCTCCGGATGGTCTTCTGCGATGTTGTTGAGCTCGCAAGGATCCTTCTCGATGTCAAAGAGGAACACTTTGTCGTCAGGGGAAAAATGTTCAGTAGCAGTCTTTCCCGCATGTGAGCCTCGCCCTGTGCCTCCAGTCGCTGGGCAAGTCCAAGCGATCCGTGTTGTAAAATTTTCTCAGCGCCTCAGCGGCTGTGGATTGGGCCATCAGCTCATCGACATCGTTGAACGGACGACGTCCACCCGTCGTTCGATAGCGCTCGCTGTCTGCACCTGTGGCGTCGAGCACAAGCTTGTACTGGGTGTCACGAATGGCTGCCACGGAGGACCCCTCCGGTTCAAGAGGGTTGATGTTGTAGACTAGTTCGGTGCGAGCGGAACCCGTTCCGTTTGACAAGTAGTCCCACATGTCGAGTCCGTCGACATTCTCTAAGCTGGACACGTCACCACCTGACACAAGAAAGTGGGGATGAAAAAGATGGCAACACCTAAGGTAAAGTGCACTAACTCCAACTGATTGAAAACAAGTCAAAGATAGGAGAAATGTCACACAGGCTGACGTTTTGACCAAGAGACTTCTCTTTGTATTTGAGAGAATACGGCGCGCATACACACGAACACTCACCCGGACTCGTTACTCGTCAAAAGAGTGACATGTAGTGGCATATGGTCAAGGTGACTTGGGTGTGCTGTGATGTAAGGTAGGGTAGTTTGTCGGTGCCCTAACTAACGTTTAGAAATGGCGAGATTGAGTGGAAGTGGCCGTACAAATTTCCAATTGTTGTGGATACTGTCTTGATTCGAAAAATCCACGCTGACCAATTAGCGCTTTTTGATCTGGTATTTAAAATTATGTTACATTGCGCAACGGAAGTCACTCACTGAAACTAACTTCCATTTGGTATTGAGTCATTTTGATCACGAATTTTCGCCCAATCTTCTTCATGTGCTACGATTCTCAGCTAATAGAAAATAAGTAGGGTCATACCTGTCTTTGAACCAGGTTACAGAACTAATTTACGAACCTACGATTGCACCACATTGTGTAAATATTTCTCAGATAATTTATTCGAACATACATTCACCTTCTCTTGAGCTCTTGTTTACTTCAAACTTCGTTCAACTCAAGCCGCGTCACAACTTGAGCGTGTTTTTCAATGTCAGCCTTCATACTTACTTGTAAAACAATCTCAACATTTATGCGAGTGCTAGGAGCCATCTAAAAGCCAGCAGTTAGGCTGATGACCACTGACCATTCCCGTACCAGCCATTTTAATACTACGCACTGTTTATTAACTGCATGAGGTATCAGAGAGCAGGTCCTTCAACATTTTGATAAAGTGTTATTTAGGAATTACGAGCTTAACCAGACCTAGGCCTCCCTCTACTCTGCCACCTTTCATCTCGCATGAAGCATAGTTTCAAATTTCAGTGCGTTTGTGGCAGACCGGTGCGAAATTTGTGAAATCGATCATTTGACGAAGGAGTGCCTGATCGGGAATGAGTATAAAATACAGATGAAATGAAATAGCACAGTCGAAAATAAGAAGGTCTTAAACACTAAAAATGACAACTCAGCTACTCTGTGATAGTATTGTTTAGAGTCTGACATTTATAATTTTTTATTTTGGTCGGTACTATTCAATTTCGTTTGTATTTCAGCGCTAACTTTCTTTTGTTTGGGCCGACTTCATCAAACAACTGAAATAATCTGCCTGCCAGCATTGCCAGTGACACTGAGAATAGGTTCCTCAAAACTGCTGAGTTTGACATGTTTTCCCACCTTCTCTTTAATGCCACAAATGTAGTAAAATTCAACCAAATAATTTTTGGTCACATAAGACGTGTAACTATAGTGCATATACTATTTCTTTGTAACATACTATTCGAAAGCCATAAATAGGTTCAGCATCTTAACGGGTGAGAGAAACAAAATGCTGGCCTACTTAACTTTAAGTGCACGACAATTTACCCAAGGGGCCCAACTAATCGTATCGTCGCATCATCACATAGACAGCACATTAATTACAATTGAAATATGGTGGTCACTGACCGGCGAGTCTGTAAAATGTAGTAAACCAGTCGGTGAGATGCATCAGCTGGTTGGACACCCTGCGCTTCTGCTTGAGCAGGGGACTCCATACAAAGGCGGGAACTCTGGTCGAGCCTTCCCAGACCGACATCTTCAAACCGCGTAGGGGCCAGTTGAAGCTGCGGCTCGAATGGTCACCGAAAGGTGTGCCACCGTTGTCACTGCTGAACAGAACGACAGTGTTGTCGAGCATGCCTACTTCTTGGAGCGTCTCGAATACCTTGCCTACTGATTGGTCCACGGTGTCCACCATACCTGCGATGGTGACAGTGAGGGCACAGCGTGCCATCCTCAGAGTAAACTTTCTATGCTCGCTAGAATTCTTGCCTGAAAATTGTGTTGTCGTAAAGGTAAGAAAACATTTCTTAGTAAAAAAGTTAAATGTTGTTCTTGCGGCTGGACCTTATAAGCCCGGAAGACCACTAATACTCTTTGCTGTTGTTCAGCTCGGTTAAACAGAGCTTGGCTGTTCAGAGTATGAGCTAAACCGAAACGCCTAAGACTGGACCATCGTCAGACTATGTTTGACCGAGATCGTAGAATTTTTTCGGCACGCCCAAACAATGAGATATAGTGTGGCTACCTAAGATTAGAAAGTTAGATTATGGACTGGACAGCACTGGAGAAAGCTCCGCCGCGTTCGTCTAGTGGCTAAGGTACTCGGCGGCTGGCCCGCGGGTCGCGAGGTTGAATTCTGGCTGCGGCGGCTGCATTTCCGATGGAGGCGGAAATGTTGTAGGCCCATGTGCTAAAATTTGTGTGCACGTTAAAGAACCTCAGATGTTCGAAATTTCCGGAGCCCTCCACTACGGCGTTTCCCATAATAATATGATGGTTTTGGGACGTCTAACCTAGCATATCAATCAATCAAGCATTGGAGAAATTAAAGATGCCGACAGAAACGGCTTCAAAAGTACTTGGACAATGTATCAGCTTTTTGTATTTTTTTATAATGTGCATAGTTTTTTAGTAAACTGAATGCAGTTTTGGTGTTTCCATTCATCCATTCATCAATATATCCACCCATCAATCCATCCGTCCGTCCGTCTGTCTATCAATGTTGGTGCGCTCTGTAGTCTTGTCCTTTACAGCGCAAACAAAACTTGCCATGATAGGGCATCAGTGTATGGAGAAGAACAGAAAGCTGGGCCAGTTTGTGACAGTACTTGAACATGTTCGAACTCCACGCACTACTACGCCGACACAAGAGACAAAGGAACCAACCACAGCGTTGACTTGCAACTGAATTTTTATTGAAAAAAATGAACAAAAAAGGAACACCTCAACCTTCACACCCAAGGGACCATACTATGTTTTCTTATGAAAATTTTGTTGCAAGTCAGTGCTGCGGTTTGTACGTGCACTCGTGTCGGCGCAGGAATCTTCGGACTTGACATCGGTTGTACCAGCTTGGGCACTCACAACAAACGATGGAAACCCTAACTGTTTGACTCTTGTTGCCAGTCGAAGCCAGTTTGGTTATCTGGTGGTAACTTACACATGCGAACCAAGATTTCGCAACAAGAAAAACAAAATACCACAGGGAGCGAGCAGCGTGAGAACGTGAAACAATAGTAGCGCACCCAACGAGCAATATATATATATATATATATATATATATATATATATATATATATATAAATATATTATATATATATATATATATATATATATATATATATATATATATATTCATATATATAGTATATATACACAATATATATATATATATATATATATATATATATATATATATATATATATATATATATATTGTGTATATATACTATATCTACTATATGAATATATATATATATATATATATATATATATATTACTAGTAGTGCCATGTCGCTTAGTGGAATTGCAGTTCAGTACGCCGCCACAACCTCATTTTGATACAACAGCCTAAGGTACAGTTTCCGTTGTCTAAAATGGTAGGCGTTCTCCTATGCAGAGAATAAAAAAGTCGCAGTGTCGCCGCAAGGGCGAAGCATTGAATTCGATGGCAAGAAATTGGAACGTTACGCGTAGAAAGCGTTGGCAAGTTTACTTCTTCAGGAAACGTGGTCACTGCAGTGAGTGAACTGACCTTTGTGTCGTGCACACCAACACTCAAAACTTTGCGACGAAGGGAAACTACGTGAAAAGCCATGAGACATCTGCTCATGGTTTCCACAGGTAAGCGCGGGACTGCGGTTGATCACACCCTTTCAGTCAAAGTAAGCAGTCGCCCCCTTTAGGCTTTCATTTTCATGCTCTTTTCACGAGAAGATGAGAGGGCGAGCGGGTAGTTTCTTTTATGCTCAAAGAGCCATCAACAGCAGCGGTCATATACTCGAACGGTCCACCCCGGTGATTGAGGGGTTACCGTGCCCGGCTGCCGACCCGAAGGCAGCGCGTTCGAATCCCAGCCTCAGCGGCTCCATTTTCTGTGTAGAAGAAATCGCACATGCCCGCGTAGTGTGGGATGTCAGTGCATGTTAATGAACACCAGATGGTCGATATTGCCAGTGCCCTCCACAAAGACACCACTCATATAATATTGTGGTGTTGGGGCGTAAAACCATTAATAATTTTATTGTTGTTACTACTACAGGTACTTTACTACTACCACCGTGTTTTAACTCGCGCATAGAACGCACGACGCGCGAGGCGGTGCTATGGATTTGGACCTTGCAGGGAGCATTTAGCTCCTAGCGCTTCGATAACGGTATCGATACCAAACTTGGTATGGCATAACATGACTGTATGGAGAACATATTTAAAACATGAAACGTATGACGTGTATGTCATGAAATTAACTATTTACAATTCATGGTCCCGCTGCTCTTGCGGTGGTTTCGTTCACATGGCATGCTGCAAAACTGGTATGGTATGACATGATTGCATGCCAAACACAAGCGACTGACCATAACATGGAAATCATGACATGCGTGTCATGTAACAACATGACTACATGCTACGCTCATAATGTGCTCGCGACCGTTTCGCTAGCATCTCATATACCAAATTTGGTATTACGGTACGTGAATGAATGACGAAGGTATGTGACTAGTGCGAACATGCTAATCATGAGATGCGTGTCATGTAGCAACATGGCTACTTGCCACGCTCATGATGCACTGGTGGCTGTTTCACCAGCTTCACTTACACCAAATTTGGTATTATGGGACGTGAATGGATGACGAAAGTACGATACTGGTGCGAGCATGATAAACATGAGAGGCGTGTCATGTAACAACATGACTATATGCTACGATCATTTTGTGCTCGCGGCCGTTTCGCTAGCTTAACATGCACCAAACTCGGTATTACGGGACGTGAACGGACGACATAGCTAAATTACACATCCAAACATGATACTCATGACAACTTGAATACATGCCACTCTCAAGATGCGCTCGCGGCCGTTTTGCTAGCTTCACATACGCCGAATTTTGTATTACGTGACGTCGATGAATGACGAAGGTATGTGACTAGTGCAAACATGATAATCTTGACATGTGTGTTATGTGAGAACATGACTGCATACCATAGTCAAGGGGCCAGTAGATTTCGACGTGACGTGGTGCGCGTGCTCGCCGGCGTTCATTTCGTCGCGTCAGCCGGTGTTGCCATGCCAGACACCGGACTTGTCATGAATGGATGGATGGATTGATATGGCTGTATTCTTTAGATTGGGAGGTGGCTAATGCCACCAAGCCTTAATACTTAGTGAACTGAAAATAGATTATTTTTTTTCTTTTAAATATTGAGGTTTAGGACTCGTACTCTGCAGTGAAGAGATTTTCCCTCGTGCCTCGACTTTAGCCACCAATCAAATAACCTCCCTCTAGTTAATTCTACCCGCTTAATGTTTATTTTGCCCTACCTGTCCATAAACCTCAGTGCATCGAAAAACTCTGCGCTATCATCCTGTACTATAGGGTGAAACCCTTTACAGAACATTATCAAGCGTTCGGCAGTTTCCTCTTCCTCTCCACCACACTCCACACGCCATATACTCGCAGATGTGCGCCGTGCTGCGTTCCTTTGACGCATGCGCGTTGCAGTGCGTCCAGCGTCCTTTCGTCACGAAAAGAGGGAGGCGCACTGTTGTCTGCGCAATGCATCGACGTGAAATACAGTATGTTGCATTTCGCGCCTGCTGCTGTCGGGCCGTGCTGACGGACGCTGATGGCGCCGGTTGCGCCTGGCTTCAGACTATAGAGTGCTCGCGTTTTACTAAAGTAGCGTCTCTGTGTCCAGCGTGCGCGCAAGTGAACGCTACATTGAAGTATATTGGGCCCTTCATGATGTGCTCGCGGCTATTTTGCTAACTCCACATATGCCAAATTGGTGTTACGTGATGTCAATGGATGACGAAAGTATATAAGTGGTGCAAACATGTTTATGCTGAGAAGCGTGTCATTTAAGAAAATGACAACATACCACGGTCATAGCGTGCTCGCGGCCATTTTACTAGCTCCACATATATTAAGTTTGGTATCACGTGACATGAACAGATGACAAAGGTAAACGACTCATCAAAACATGATAATCATGACATGTAAGTCATGTACGGCCTCATTTACCTCCACCTCGTAACATTGTGCTGATTTTAGAGTGACATATGAACCTTCCTCATTCGTGCTTCTCATATCATTGATTCTCGCTATACGGGGGATCGTCAAATTTTTTTATTGAAAAACATGAACAGAAAAAGAACACTTAAACCTTCACAATTATGGGATCATGCTAAGTATGTTTTCCAATGAAATTCAGTTGCAAGTCGGCACTGTGGTTTGTACCTGCTCTTGTGTCCGCGCAGGAATCTTCGGACCTGGCATTGGTTGTACCGGCTTGGGCACTTGTAACAAACGGTGGAAATCATTTTTGTTTTACTATTGTTGCTTGTCGAAGCCAGTCTGGTCACCTGGCGGTAACTTAGACATGCGAACCACGATTTCGCAACCAGAAAATCAAAATACCACAGAGAACGAGCAGCCGAGCGAGAACGCGAAACAGCAGTAGGGCACCCAACCAGCAACATACATACACACACACACACACACACACACACACACACACACACACATATATATATATATATATATATATATATATATATATATATATATATATATATATATAAATATATATATATGTGTATATATATATATATATATATATATATATATATATATATATATATATAAGGTATATATATATATATATATATATATATATATATATATATATATAGTAATTTTCAACACGTCGGACTACTTGAAGGAAGGGGAACGA